TTGCAAGTTTTGCTTTTCTAGAAACAAAATGGACTATGTGATTGTAAAACTCAGTATTTTAAGAAGTTGAATAAATAAATGTTCTTGGATTTAATTATCTTCTGTCCTATAAAATATATTTCTTGCTGATTTTGGTAAAGTCTAACAGCCCTAAAGACTGGCTGGTTGTATAGAGAGGCTGATTTCTTGGATGAAGTTTTTTTCCAAAGTCTTTATACTTGTAATGTTTACATAAAAATCACTTGAAATAAGTTTTGTCTCTTAATTTTGAGATCTTGCTGGGTAGAACTTGCCTAACATGGGGGAAGCTAGTTTAGAGGGTACCTATCCTCCTATATAGTGAGTGGCTCAGCTATTTTATCAGGTAAGTAGGAAGGGCCCTATGAGACTCGTTTGTACCACTGGAGCTTATGTAGGTTTTGAAGATAGTCACAGGATCTTATTTTATATTTCTTCATGTTTCCCATTTTATGCCACATAAAATACACAAAGATGTTCAGCAGCCCCCCAAAATCTGTATTTGAGGGCAGAAGTGCAAAGCTGGGCCCTGGCCCATGTGTGCAGTCTGGGTACTGGTGGGTGTATACACCCTGTCCTCTGGGAAAGAGCAGGTTGGGGAGATAGATGTGAGACATGTGCTGCTGCCTGCTCTTTCCTATTTGTTCAGCTCAGGCCAGGGGTTGTCTTGGAAAGAACAAAACAGGCCTGTAGGCTCTAGGTTCAGCAACATTGGATGCAGCTATGCAAGCATCAGATCACAAGGGGAGCCTTCTACTACTATTCCCTCTTTGAGCTGTCTTCTCCCTCTGAAAGTTAAGGGTGTAATTTCAGTGACAGTGCATCCAGCTCTGCACTCACCTTCTCTGGACTGCATCCTTGCCATGTCTCTGGGGATGCTGACTAGAGGGGAGGCCAGTTATTCAGTCTGGACTGGATCCATTTTTGTGTGCCAGGTTTCAGGACGGGCCTGGAAAAGACAGCAAAAGATCTTTGTGGGATGTGGGCAAGCAGTAGTCATAAGCAGCTAAAGAAGGAATCCCTCAACCCCAACAGGATCCTTCTCCACAGCTGGGGAACTTTGTGATGAGCAGTTTAGATACTGGGGGCAGTGTGGGGCTGAGCACTCTGAAGGTTTCTGAACGGTCAAAGCTGACCTGGATCTGGGCTCTGCCTGCATCATACTCATATGGCACATCCAGAGTAAAAGAGCTGTTATGCCCTACTGAGTCTGGACTCAGTAGGGATTACCCAGCCCTTCTCTGTGATGCCTGGGTGCAAGAAACAAAGTATTGCCCCTTGTTTGTTCTACCTCCCCACCCTGGACTTAATATTGTTTACTAATCTGTATATCTAATGCAGGAGCCAGAGACCTGATTTCTAGGCCATCATGCCCCTACCCTGGATGGGGGAAGACGCACACAACAAATGGAGTCTGGGCCTCTTGGTGCAACCCTAATTGAAAATGCTGTGTCCAGCCCTAGTGGCACCAACAGATAGGAAGAAGAGTCCCAAAATAAACAAGAAATGTTTGGCTGTGCATGGATTAGCAATCACTGTTTAATGATTGGCAAGAGCTTCCTAGTGTTCATTGAAGTCTGGCAAGTTTCTTGTGTGACCAAAAAGAACACAGGATTCAAACACCACCACTGTTACTTCTGCATAGACTGGAAGACTCTCCATGAATGTCTCCCTACCCACCAAGAGTTTTCTGTCATCTGCTTTTGCAGGAAAAGTGTTCTGACAGCACTATCTTGTGGACACTATGGGAAATTCACACTGAATGAACAGATTTTAGCATAAATTGCTGACTTTCCTTAAGTATTCTGCAGTCAGTTGTGGACACTAGGTTTTCTAATGGGTGGCCGATGTCAAAAAAGGGTGTTGCACAGGTAATGTGGAGAATACAGGGGCCACGAGCAATGCAGCACCATTCAGCCCTGTGTGGGACCTAGATTGCTTCTAGGCCCAGCCATAGGAGGTGACAGCATGCAAGGCCAGAGCAGACTTCACATCTCCCTGTAAATAAAACTTCAAGCCAGCTCCAGTGTCAGTAGCAGGGAGCATCTGAGCAATGCTACCTGCAGGCAGCAACTCTGCCCCATTCCTGAACACACTCACCCCTGAGCAGCTTTGTGCTGGAGAGCTGGCACAGCTGGGGTACTCAGCCCAGGGAGCAATGCCAGAAAGAGGGGTGAACCCTCTCCGGGAGGAACATGTCCCAGTCCTTTCCTACCCAAAGGAAGCCAAGTCTCTAAGGTCCCTTCCATGGTCCTGTAAATTTTGCTCCAATGTCTCACTCAGTGACTTTTGTGGCAGCCAGGGTGAGCCCTGCAGAAGATGAGGGACCCTGAGAGAAACACCCTGCTGGTTGCCCTGGCTGGTCACAGAGAGCTGTGTGCTTGGGGACCGTGGTGAACTATTGTACCTTTGGCAGTCTCGTCGCAGCAGGTAAACGCTTTCCTCCTGGGAGGGGTTAATAACGAACCAGGACTTGAGCAGGGTGAGAGATGCATAAATGGACGACACGGCCCCGGTGACGGATGGTGGAGCAGCAGGAGTAAGAACCTCCATCACAAAAACATAGCCCCATGACAATCACATTTAGAGCTCTATTTTTTTCACATGTAGGGATAGCTCCACCGAAATGGAGCCTCAAAAAATTATTCGACACTCGTACTTGTTCCTCTCCACGGAAATCTTTAGTAAAAGGCGAAAGATTTATACGATCTGAAGAGAAACCAGAGTATGCCCTAACTTTCCCCCCTGCACATACGTAGTCTCAACTGTCTCTCTATAGCTCATGGCGACCCCGCGACCCCCCGGTTCCACCCTCCGCTTCCCCGGCCCGTTCACCCGGCAGGGACTGGCCCGGTCCCGCACCGGGACCAGCGGCCCCAGAGAGCGGCGGCACCGAAAGGCTTTACCGGGGCTGCGGTACCGGGCGCGGTGCACCCTGGGAGGGCAAATGAATGAATACTAATGATGCCGCGCGCTCCGGCGGGAGGGGGTTTCGGGATACGTGGCCGGGAGCTCCTGAGCTCGCCCTTCACCCCCGCCACACTTGCCCAGGCCAGCCACGGCCTGCCCCAGAGTGCCCAAGGTGGGTACACAGATCCTGCTTTCCTAATCCAGGTGCACAGAGCGCAGCACGCCCAGCACGGGCTCGTCGAGGGCACAGGGCACCTCTCCCACCATGTCCTGGGGAGAAAGGGCAGAGTGACAGGGACAGCCTTCACACAGTTCTCCAGGCAGTTCTCTTCCAGACACTGGGGCTGCTCAGTGCAGCCCCAGTGCCAGGGAGACGCACACAGCTCCTGTCTGGGCAGGAAGGATTGGCACAGATGCAAACACTTCCCATTTCTCCCCACAAGGCTCAGTACTCACCTGCACGACCCTGAGCATCAGCAGAGCCCGTGCTGGGCCTGTGGAGAGGTACAGAGCAGCACGGGTACAAGGTAGACCTGGTTCTGGTACTTGGGATTGCCATGGCCTGAAGAGTCCAGCAGAACCTGTGTGTCTTCTTGACCCTCTGCTTTGTTGAAAGAGGCCAAGAACTTGGTGAGGTCTGGTACCCCTATGCAGAGAAAGAGATGCCAACTCATGTGCCTGGAGGAGAATAAGTCACCCATCTCAGCTGTTTCACTGCCACCCCAAGAGAACCCAGNGGAGGTGCTAATGAGGAAGAGGAGGAGGAGGAGGCGCGGGCGGAGAGGTGTGGGTGAACTCCGTGGGCACCAGCCCCAGTCCTGGAGCAGATCCCTTCTCCCCACGGTACGGATCGCGAGGGATCATTTCCTCCGCGGCTCCGCATCGCAACTTTGTAACCCGACAATCACTCTCACCGCGCTGAACGCGTGTGTGAAAGATATTTAAATAAGCTCTCTCTGTTTTTAACCAAAATAGGGGCAGCTCCATCAAAATGGAGCCTCAAAAAATTTCTTGACACTCGTACTCGTTCCTCTCCACGGAAATCTTTAGTAAAAGGCGAAAGATTTATACGATCTGAAGAGAAACCAGAGCATACAGATCATATTTCCCGCACATGCACCCCCCCCACGACGCTGCCCCAGAGGACACGGCGACCCTCCCTCCCCTCCCCTGCCGCCTCCCCCAGCTCGGCCCCAGCTCCCCGCCCGTTCCACACCCCTGCCCGCCCCAGCCCCGGCCGGGCTCGGAGGGGCGGCTGTCGGCGGGACCGGCCCGGCGCTGCCCCCACTGCACCCCGGGTATGCTGATCGCGCCGTGCTGGGGAGGCCACGCCCGGGGCTACCTGCCCTGCTGGGGTGGGCCGGGCCCGGCGGGGACAGCGAAGGGAAGCGGACGGGGATGCTGGAGGAGCCCGGCTCCGGTCGCACGGTTTCCTCGGCAGCGCGGCGCAGAGGCTGAAAGTCGGCTCCGGGAGAGGCCGCCGTACGCCTCTGCCACGGACCGAAGGGAGGGGGTCGCGGTAACAACTGGGCTCCTCCGGGATCCTCCCAGGTCGCGCCAACAGCGCCGGAGCGGGGGCCCGGGCGGGGCTGGAGCGCCCGGACAGCGGGGCAGGTTCCCGGCTGGCCGCTTCTCCTGGAGCCCGAATGCAGCCGCTGCGCTGCTCCGCCCCGAGCCCCCCCGGTCGCTGCCCAAGTTCTAATGGGACAGGGGTGATGAGGGGGCTGCCCCGGCCGGGGCACGGGCGCTGCGGAGAGACTGAGTACCGGGGTCAGGGTGAGCACCGGCGCGGAACCGACCCCGCAGCAGACACCGCTCCTACCGCTGGAAAGGGTGATAACTGTCCCTGTCGGCACTACAACCCTACAAACTGAGTCCAAATCTAATACAATTCTCTACCGATATTAGTTTTTCTATTTTTAACCAGAACAGGGTCAGCTCCACCGAAATGGAGCCTCAAAAAATTATTCGACACTCGTACTTGTTCCTCTCCACGGAAATCTTTAGTAAAAGGCGAAAGATTTATACGATCTGAAGAGAAACCAGAGTATGCCCTAACTTTCCCCCCTGCACATACGTAGTCTCAACTGTCTCTCTATAGCTCATGGCGACCCCGCGACCCCCCGGTTCCACCCTCCGCTTCCCCGGCCCGTTCACCCGGCAGGGACTGGCCCGGTCCCGCACCGGGACCAGCGGCCCCAGAGAGCGGCGGCACCGAAAGGCTTTACCGGGGCTGCGGTACCGGGCGCGGTGCACCCTGGGAGGGCAAATGAATGAATACTAATGATGCCGCGCGCTCCGGCGGGAGGGGGTTTCGGGATACGTGGCCGGGAGCTCCTGAGCTCGCCCTTCACCCCCGCCACACTTGCCCAGGCCAGCCACGGCCTGCCCCAGAGTGCCCAAGGTGGGTACACAGATCCTGCTTTCCTAATCCAGGTGCACAGAGCGCAGCACGCCCAGCACGGGCTCGTCGAGGGCACAGGGCACCTCTCCCACCATGTCCTGGGGAGAAAGGGCAGAGTGACAGGGACAGCCTTCACACAGTTCTCCAGGCAGTTCTCTTCCAGACACTGGGGCTGCTCAGTGCAGCCCCAGTGCCAGGGAGACGCACACAGCTCCTGTCTGGGCAGGAAGGATTGGCACAGATGCAAACACTTCCCATTTCTCCCCACAAGGCTCAGTACTCACCTGCACGACCCTGAGCATCAGCAGAGCCCGTGCTGGGCCTGTGGAGAGGTACAGAGCAGCACGGGTACAAGGTAGACCTGGTTCTGGTACTTGGGATTGCCATGGCCTGAAGAGTCCAGCAGAACCTGTGTGTCTTCTTGACCCTCTGCTTTGTTGGAAGAGGCCAAGAACTTGGTGAGGTCTGGTACCCCTATGCAGAGAAAGAGATGCCAACTCATGTGCCTGGAGGAGAATAAGTCACCCATCTCAGCTGTTTCACTGCCACCCCAAGAGAACCCAGCATCACATCCCACTGGGAGTGTGGCTCAAAGAGCCAGGAAAAAAAATTCTCTGCCCTTGTCAGGAGCCATGCCATAAACTGGAAAAACAGCTGGCAAAATTCTCAGCTGGTTTAGGTGGCCAAGGAAGGCCCTTCTGCGCGTGTTTACGGAAGCAGAGTCTGGCACTGGAATGCCAAACAGAGCTGCTAAGGATCCCGCTGCTGATCCTACTGCTTCGTCTTTATTGGAGGAAGCTGTGACAGCATGTATCACCCCATGGCCTCTGACAACATCCTCCAACTACAGAACTAACAGGGTTTGGCTTCCACTGGCAAGGAGAAAAAAACGGGAAAAAAATGTTGTAATGCTCTTTCAAAGATAGGAGCTGCAAAACCCTCCCACCCCAGAGGGGAACTCTGGGAAAGTTTGCAGTAGGTGAACACTGCAGGTAAGAATAGAAACTGTTTTGTGGTTTTAACGGGAGGAATTGCAGCCAGCAGGGCAGCAATATTGTGCCAATATGACTGTGAAGAAAGTGAGCTTGTTAAAAAATGAGAGGGGATGAAATGCAGGCACTCAACAATAGCTGAGACTCTGAACTCCTTCCAGCCAGACCAGCGCTGCAGTGATCTGCCATCTGCAGGTGGAGGGGTGGGAGTGGCTCAGCACAGCAAGGAACCCCGGGGGTCAGAGGTCAGGGAGAACATCCTTGCCTGAATTAAAACAATTCCTATATAGATGGATGCTGCCTACTGTAGCTTTCGCAAATGAGCTCCTTATACTCCCTACCAGCATCTGCAGTGAGTGGCAGCAGCTTTACAGATTCTTCTTTCAGGTGGTTCAGCCTCGGTATTTCCAGGGGAATTGAGGCACCTCCGATCTCCAGAAATTCAGTAAGGTATCTGTGGCTTCAAGGATAGAGGGAACAAAGCCAGAAGTGTCTCCTGCCTTGGAGCCCATCTTCCTCTGCCAGCAGGCCGTGCTCCTGGGAGCCATCACCTCCTGCCTCGCTGCAGCAGATGGAGGTCTGAACTGGGCACTGTCTCTTGCAAGAGAGCATGGATCTTCCTCTCACAGGCAGGCAGAGGCAGCACGCTCATCCCAGTGCAAGACAAACACTAATTCTACATTCCTCAGAGACAGGTTACATGGCTTTCCTTTCAATTTCATCTTTAGATAGCCAGGTTGTTTTTCAGACCTGCAGAACACGGCTGGATATGAATGTCTCCATGCAGAGCTTATTCTTTAAACTAATTTTTGGTAGAGAACTTGCCCCTCTTCTCCATCTCACTACCACACAGCACCTCCAGCTGTCTGAGGAAACAGATATGCCATCCTGAGCCATGCTGTTAGGTGAGCCAGGAACAAACTGGCTCCCTGGGAGAACTCCGGCTCCAGCTCTTGTTCTGCCTTCCTTTTAATGAAAATGTCCAGGATGCAGCTTCGAGCAACTTTGTGGGCACTATCCCATTCATGCAAGAAAACCATGAGCTTCCTGATGGCTTCTTGCTCTGACAGAAGTCAGGATCTCTTCTGCCTAGAGAAAAATAAGAAAGAAGTTTAAAAAGGGCTGTGAAGATAGAGGAAGGCCGTACTAAGGAATTACTATCAAAATCACATTTAAAATCTCTGGCAAATAATACTAAAGCTCTTACTAACCATTAATTTAATCTCATTTTCCCTTATACTCATGTCATAGATAGGAAAACTGAGGCAAAAGGAGAGTTCCCAGTATGTCTGAAGCTGCACAATGAATCTGTGACAGACTTGAGATTATTTTCCGGGGCAGGTGGTTTCACTACAGGAGCTCTCTTCTCTGCTCTGTTAATAAAGTCATTTTGATGTTTCCCATTACCCCAGCCCTGGTTTCTCACTAGCCTCATGATATGAACACTGCATCTCGTATCTGACCTGCCAGGGAATAAATAGGGTGAAATGAGAGCAGAAATAGGTATGGATTTATGGGGAGTGACAGGGTCAAGGGGGCTATAAATGCCTCTTAGCGAAGCAGTGCAGCCCTCACTCACGTGCTGGAGTGACAGTCATCTGGACTGGGCCCACATCCACCCCAGGAATATGTGCCTGGCCTTGGCAGGAAGAGTGCTTTGGCACCCTTTGACGTGACAGACATTTACTCGGGTTTTTTCCTGACTAATTTCCCAGGCATGTTTTTAAACAATCTAAGAAAAGCTAAAATGATAAAAGCTACAGGCAAGAAGGCAGAAACCCCAGAAACATCCTGTGTCAGCACTTCCTTCCATCCCTTCACACAGGTGTTAAATAAAGCAACCCACATCTTGCCAAATTTCTTTGGCACACTTTTGGCTCAGTAAGGTAACCCCTATTCCAGCTTGACACATGTGAAGGTGTACTTTGTAGGGAGGTGAAATGTCAGGGATCAAGCTCTCCATTTGCTCAGGTAGGTGGCAATCCCACCGCTGTGTATGTGTTTGGCTGGAGGACGCTGACCAGTCCCAAGGAGTTAGACACCAGGATCTGTGTCCACACACAGATACAGAAGGAGGGATAAGGTTGCCAACAGCTGCATTGACACAGGTGCCTTGTCCTCCACCAATCTCTATCAACATGCCTAAGGATAAGAAAGGAGTTCTCACCTTGTCTAATGCACTTCTTGGACTTCCTGCCCAAGAAAAGCACCATTTTAGGTTTAAGTGTGGTTTAGGAGAAAAAAAGCTAGAACGACACACAGTCTTTGGATTTCAGAACAAGGAGTTTCTTTCAATGTAATACAAATCACCAAGATTACCAATTCCCTAGCTACAAAATTCTTAAGTCCTTTCTCCTGGAATCTGGAGCAAAATTCCAAAGCAGCTCCAAAATATCCCCAAGATACTTGCTCAAAAGTAACTTTTTATTCCTATTATCGGAGCCAGACTGAAAACAGTGACTAAGAGGTGAACATGTATCTCAGAACCTGAAAACAAACAAACAAACAAAGTCTTTAAGGAACAATGTTTAAGAATTAAGATGAGATGAAATTTCATTTGGGAATTTACGGTCTGTGCTCTGTAAGGAGTCTGTGTCCTTGGCAGGGCGTTTTCAGGACCTCCTTTGAGGGGAAGCAGGTTTAAAATAAATCCATTTTCCCAAAATAGTTGTGATTGAAAATGTTATTAGCCATAACAAATGTTAGTGCTGACAGGAGAATGGCCTGTTAGGGGCCTCGGCTGAAACAGTCAAGTGAAAGTCATATTTCACATTATTGCAAGCATTTTCCTGTGATTTACAGAATATTTGTGAAACATTACTTACAAGGCATATGATTGATATTGAGGGAACAGCTCATGTGTAGGGGGAATCTGTATTTCACAGAGACTGTTTGCATGAAATTTACAGTCCCATAAAGTGCTCCTCTGTCCTCAACAGAGATCTAGTTAAAAGAACTTTACAGTCTGAAACATCCCAAAATTGATTCTAAATTAACATTTCTGTATTTATGTTTAAGATGCTGGTGGTGTACTGCTATCCCATTTTTATTATAAAGCTGCAGTAACCCTCCCACTCTTCAGAAATACGAGCACCAGCCTCTGGACGTGAGGATTTTAGTGATACAAAGGGCTTGCCTATGGATCAATGGAAAAAAAAGAGGAGTTTGAAACAGTGATGACATGGGGCTTCAGAGGATACAGTGGTTACTCTGGCTGCTATAATCACAGCATCTGCTGACACAGTAGTCTTTAAGCCAACATTGCAAAGTACCCTGAAAATGTGCATTAATATTGTTATTATGATCATTTTACATATGGGAACATACAGACACAGGGAAGTTAAATGGCTTGCCTGAGTCGATTGTCAGTGCTAGCATCAGCACGTAACTCCTGTTTGTTGGCTTCAAACTCTGCTCTCCACAGTGCTGGGCTGCCACCCAGTCCATTGGACCTAATAATCAAAACAAGGCTGGGTCAGGGCAGGGCTTTATTCCTGCCAAGAAAAACACCAGTGATTTAGGAACTGGCCCTGGCAATTCAGCAGTTCTTTACGTCCAGAGTGCTGCTAAATCATCAGTTTGAGATCAAAAGGCAGGCTGATGCTGCGTCAGCCTCAGTCCGAGTGCGAGGTGCCAGCGACTGATCGCCTTGGACTCGTGGAACGATAGAGTAACAGTGATTTGGTGTTGCAACATCGAGGTTGTGCCCAGCCTCAAGCAGAACTTAGAGCTTCTGTTTCCCCTGCAGGTTTCACCCTCTCCTGGCACACCTCAAGTCCCCCACCACCCTCCTCATGCACAATGCACCTTCCTCAGTGTACCCCACTGTACCCAGCCCCTACCACCCCACAGTCCCGCCGGCCCCTCTCTCACTGTCCGTCCTGGCCCCCAGCCCCACTGCTAATGCAGCCACAGCCCCAAACGCAGCCCTGCACGGCCTCACCCCGCTGCCCTGACCCTGCTTCCATCCCGCCCCTGCCCCGCCTGACCCATGGCAGCCCCAGCATTCCCCGCCCCAGCCCACCATCCCACAGGCCCGATCCAGCCCAACCACAGGCCCTGCGCTCCCTCACACCCCAAACCCCACGTCGGGCCCTCACACGCTCCCTGACGCCCGTGCCCAGCCCCTGCGTCGCCCCTCCTGACTCAAACGCCCAGCTCAGGCCCACAGCGCCGCTCAGCCCCTACACTCTATTCCCAGTCCCCTTGAGTGTGATCCCCACTCCAGGTCCAACCATTCCCCCCATCCCGGCCCCGCAGCCCCTCACTGCCCTCCATCCCCGGGGGGCGGTTACCTCGCACAATAACTGACACGCAGCCGCACCAATCGCCGCCTTTCTTTCCCGCCCGCGGCCCAATGGGCGCTCAGTGGGCGGGGCGCCAGGCCCGACGCTAAGGGCGTTGCTAAGGAAGTGGGGGGCGGGGATGGGGCAAGGCCAGCGGGGAGGCGGGGCGGGCGCTTTCCCTTCCCATTGGCTGCGGGGAGGAGATGGGCGGGGCTTCCGGCGAGGGCGGAAGCGGCGGCGGGGGCGCGGCGAGCTCGACCATGGGCGCCCACGGGCTGGAGGCGGCCGTGGTGGAGCTGCAGCCGGGACCGGGACCGGGACAGGACCAGGACCGCGGTGCGAGCGGGACCGGGACAGCAGGGACAGCAGGGACTGGGGGAACCCTGGGGGGCGCGGGCTTGGGGGGACCCTGAGGGGGGGTGCCGTAGCAGGTGTGTGGCAGTGAGGGCAGGGCAGGGCAGGACGCTTCGCTTTCCCCCTTGGAACAGCGGGGCACGGCAGCCCGTGGTGCCCCCGGGAGGAGGGCTTTCGCCTCCCTGTAGGGATCTGCTCTGCGCTGGCTGTGCGTCACTGGAGAGCGGTGGGAGCTGCGGGGGCTGAAGCGGCGCTGTCCTGCCGAGCAGGGCCCCGCGGGTCACCGGGCTGAGGCCGCACTCGCGGCCAGCGGGCGGATCGAGCTAATGCCCGCTCCCACATTGCATTTAAACTGTATTGACCAGGCAGTCTGCCGTGAGCTCCGGCTCGGGCAGACCGGAGGGGCGTTATGTTAAAACTTGTGATTAGTTTCAGAAAGCAGCGCGGAGAGAGGGCACGCAGAGCGCCAGCCTGTGGTGATCCTGCTGGGCTGGGCGGGCTGCCAGGACAAATACCTGGCCAAATACAGCGCAATCTACAGCCAGAAGGTGAGTAGCTTGTCTGTGTTTTTGTGGCACTGCCTCTTTTCTGCGTGTTGGTAAAGTCGCTCTGAAGCCTCTCTCGATCTGCAGAGTCATGGGGAGGGAGTGGCGAGTTCTCCTGTCGTTGAAAGCTCCTTATCTCCCGGAGCCCAGGCAGTGTTATCTAACAGCTGCTGATGTCACCTTCCTGTGTGCAGCTGAGACAAAAATACTTCCTTGGAGAAACTTTCAGCTGCTCTGTGAATCACTGAAGTATTTTAAGGCTTTTAAAGTTGTGGGATTATTCAGGAATGACGTGAACTCTGTTAGTTTTCCAGGCAGGTAAACATGCAGGGAAAGATCCTGCATTTACTGCTTGCTGTTAGGCCACAGCACAGTCTTGGCAAGGCTGGGCACTGACAGAGCACATCGGCATCTGTCGCCCCTTTGGCTCTTCCTTCCTGTGAAAATGATTCATGTAAATGTTGTAATCTAAATTAATTTTATCCTGCCTCTGAAACACCCATCCTGTGATAGTCATAGCTTCTCACTGGGAGCTCCTGGTGTTTGAACTAGGGAGGTCCATTCTACTGCCAGTTCCCTAAGTTTTGATATTTTCCTTTCTAATGCTGTATTTTACTGGAATGACCCCATCTCATAGTGTGAGGACCCAGTGAAACACTAGATTCTTTTTTTTTATTGGTCAGCATACAAGGAATCCTGTATCTATCCAAATCTGTTTCAGCTATAGGTGGTAAAGTTTGTACATTAACAAGTCTGTTGTTGATGTGTGGAGTGCAGGAGTCATTAATTGGCTCGATCTAGTGAAGAATTAATTCTTAAGTGGCTGCTATGACTAAGAGATGCTGCAGAGCAGATGAGAAGTACATTTCAGGGCAGCATGACAACTTCTTGGAAGATCAGAAAGGTCATAGAAAGGGGAAAGGAGAGAAGGGGTTTTCATAGCTCCCTAAGAGGTAGTGACAGTAACCATGGCAAGATGGTTGAGAAGACTTTGATTTAAGAACTTGGTATTCTCCTCTTCCTTCTGCACTGCTTAGGGAGCTCTGGGAGGGAGGGCTGTCTGGGTGGCTTCACCTTGTGTTTGTCACTGTGTAATGTCAGTGAGCTTAGGTGACAGAAAAGACCTAAAGCATTTATAGATGTGGTTCCATCTGTTCTATTTAGAAAATCCTCCATGATCCTGTTTGCTGTGCAAGGCTTTCAGTGTAAAGGCAGCTGCTCAGGAGTTCTGAGTCTCTGAGCCAGAGCTC